AGTGGTTTGTTGAGGCATTGAAAAGCTCCAGATTGCCTCCCGCGCAAACCCCCTCTGGGATCCTACCCGTGAGTTTGTTGTTGTCGAGGTATAGTGTCTTCAGCTGTGGCATGCCATAGCCCAAAGTCACTGGTATCTCCCCAGAGAGTTGGTTACTACCTAGCGCCAGAAACTGCAGAGTGGCACATCGCGTGAGGCCTTCTAGGATCGAACCATTCAACTGATTGACTGAGGCAATGAAAATCCTTAGATTGCCTCCCGCGCAAACCCCCTCTGGGATCCTACCAGTAAGCTCGTTCTGAGCAACATGAACAGCAGATAAGTTGGGCGAGTGCTTTCCTAGCTCTGGCGGAAGTGTGCCAGTAAGCCTGTTAGCGCCCAAGTGCAACAACCTCAGCGACGGCAAGCGACTGATGCTCGTTGGTATCTCGCCGGAGAAGTAGTTGTATTCAAGTACCAAAACTTCGAGGCTATCCAAGCAACCGAATACTTCTGGGATGGTTCCAGTGAGCTTGTTTTCATGTAAATGGATATTGACCAAGCTCATCGCACCAAAACTATCAACCACTACGTTGCCAGTGAGGTTGTTGTTAGACACAAAGAAGAATCGCAGCTTCTTCAGGTCCCAAATCCCTGGAGGTATGGTTCCGGTCAACGAGTTATTCTCTAGGATTAGTGCCTCCAACTTCTGCATCTTTACCACATAGCTTGGGAAGTCGCCTATGAGGTTGCAACTGCCCGCCACGAGGCTGACTAGGTGGGTCAGGTCCTTGAACGATGCTGGCAGCTCGCCTGGGTCAAACGGGTTGCACGACAACCACAACAGTTGAAGGTTTGTTAGCTCGCCAAGCTCCGTTGGGATAGTGCCGCTAAGGCTGTTGTTGTTCAGCGCGAGGTACTGGAGGTTCTGGAGCCTGGACAGAGACACCGGGATGCTTCCATTGAACTTGTTGGAGCTGAGGTCCAGCGTGCTCAAGTTCACTGGAAGTCTGTGGCCGATGTCATCAGGAAGCTCCCCTCCGATGTAGTTGCAGGACAGGTCGAGGTACCGGAGTGAGCTGCAGCGGTACAGCACCATCGGGAACACGCCAGTGATGCTGTTGTCGGAGAGGTCGAGGTGGATGAGGCCGGAGAGGCCGCCAATGGCATCAGGGACATGGCCCGTGAGGTTGATGCTGGCTAGGGCGAGCCTGATGACGTGTCTGGCCGTGTCGCACCCCACGTATGGCCAGCTGCAATGTACCCCCGTGGCCGAGGTGGAGGCGGTCCATGCGGCGAGCGCAGGCGTGCTTCATCCGGAGGAGCAGCTCCGGCTCGTCCACTGGTCGGGGCTTCGCGGCCACGCGGTGGTGCAGGAGGCATGCTACTAGTAGCACAGTGCTGAGGCAGCAAGCACGTTGGCGGTGAGGTGTTGCCATGTCTTGGCCGCTGCCGTTGTGGATAGTGGAGACGGCGGGTGCTGGGTTCGTACTTGAATGAGTGAGCAGAGCAGGGCACTGAAAAATCTCTGTGCTTGACTCGACGTATGGCCAGAAATTTAGGCTTGGGAGTCTCTTCCGAGCCGTGATAAATTCTGCGGCTGTCACGTAGACTGAAACACAATAAAACTGGCCCGGTCAAGACACGGGCAATTCGCATCCCTGTTCCTGGCCCGGAGAGGGCAATGGACGATGGAGATGGAAGAAACAAGCACGCGGCTGTGTCCCTTGACCGACTTAGCGAAAGCGACAGTACGTAGTTGCAGATTGGCGTAGGAATGGTACTATTCGAAGCACCACTTTCCTGTGCCAAAGCAGAATCCAAAGCAAACTAGGAACCATGGAACAAAATGAAGCGCAAAGCAAGTTTGTACTGCGGCCCTACATCAATACTGCCAAGAAGCAAAACACTGTTGGGGGCGTGAATTGATTTGAATGAATGAATTGGCTGATGACCTTCCACTGCAGTACAGCATTTTTTTTTTGGTTCTTCACGGATTATACAGTAGTATTAATGGCATGGTGATTAGATCCATGTCGACTTTTTATATATGCAACTTAAATCTTACCCCGCTTAGGAGCCCTGGGCTCCCGAATGCAAATCTTTTTTTTCCCGATCAGGCCGTAGCCTGTTTTCATTAAGAGAATAGAAAAGTTTTAAAGTTATATGACATCGACAAGTTCTGCCTATTCCAAACCCGCCGTCAAGACGCTAGTGTTCAGGACCGACCAAAGAATGTCGATAAGTTAGAGCTAGATCCTAGCAGCTACAACACATTCAAGGGACTGTACGAAAGTAGAATCTGCGACTGTGGGTACAACACGGCAAAGCGTTGGGACTGCTTGGCCTACTCGACGTCCGTCAACAGACCACGATGACGCCGGCGCCTCTCAGGAAAGAATACCCGCATGGCTTCCCATGAGCCTTTGAACGTCCACTGAATGCAAATCATAGAATACAGTGAAGTTTATATTTGTATCCTTCAAGACATTACAATGAGAATATAAACTAGGTCCTACTCCCTTCGTTCCCTTTTACCAGTCGTGAGAGGAGTATTTACAGATACCAAGACCCTCATAGAAACTTGAGCTACCTTATTATTTACTCTTCCTTGTGATTAGCATGTGCAGCCGTTTTTACTCCATTAAAATACTAAGCTACTCTCCGTGTTTTGAGTAGGTGCAGTAATGACTAGTACCCTTGAAACTCCAGCCGGCGCCTGCTATTGTGGCCAAACTGAAAAACGCTTGCACGCCTGGTAAAAGGGAACTGAGGGAGTATTTGACATGGCTACAAACAGCTTTGGATCCTTGCTATACAGTACGCGAAGGAGCAAGAGCTATAGAAGCCCAAGGTAGCCTCACTGGCTCCTAGTTCATTTTAAGAGGGCAAATACAAATCGTTCCTTACTGCAATTAATGCACGAAGCAGGCAAGCCAGTCAGAGCTCCACCAAAGGGCTCAAATGTATCCGAGAACTCCCATTGGAGAAAGAAGATAGAGTTGGGAGAGAGAAAGAGAAAATAATTATTACTCATAGAAACCATGGGTTGGAAAACAATACTTTTTTTTATGCGATATTCTATGTTATAGAAACTACTAGTTTCTTTCATTGGGACTGCCCTAAACTGATGCAGTTCCTTTCGTGATTGATTGATGCAGAGCACTACTTACCTTACGTGTATGCAACACATCACGTCTATGGAAAACCAAGTGGCCGCAAATCTGTCAACATAATAATGTTGCTGGTACGAACATGTTGCTTTTGTCTGACAGAACAAAATAGGAACCATGGAACAAAACTAAGCCCTTGTTTAGTTCGCGAAATTTAGAATTTGAGGTTACTGTAGCATCTTCGTTTTTATTTGGCAAATAGTGTCCAAACATTGACTAATTCGGTTTAAAATGTTCGTCTCGCAATTTCCCACCAAACTGTGCAATTAGTTTTTCTTTTCGTCTACATTTAATGCTCCATGCATGAGCCGCAAACATTCGATGTGACAGGTACTGTAGCAACTTTTTGGACTTTGGGGTCCATCTAAAAGGCGTAAAGCACAAAGCAAGTTTATATCGCAGCCCTGCATCAATACTGCCAAGAAGCAAAAGAATGTTGGGTTGTGAATTGATTTGAAAGAACTTCGGTTGATGACCTGCACTGCAGTACAACATTTTTGAATTTTTGGTTCTTCACCGTTTGTACTATAGTAGTGCCATTAATGCACATGCATGGTGAGTAGGTCTGTGTCATCTTTGTGTGATCTTGATTCTTAAATCTTACTTCAATTTTGGTCCCCGGGTTCCTCAAAGGCAATCGTATACTCCCTCCGTCTCATGATAGAAGGTGCAACTCTCTTTTGTGCGCATACCAAGAAAAGATTTAATTTCTGATCTCTCCCATTATCGATACTTTGGTTCTCGTAGCATGCTTATGGAGACCAGTGCTCAACTAAATACCGTGGTGATTAGCCAGTGTCATCTTTGTGTACATCTTAATTCTTAAATCTTACTCCAATTTTGGACCCCGGGCTTACTCAAAGGCAATCATATGCTGCAGTGAAGTTTATCCTAATATGCTTCGAGACATTAAGATGAGGAATGTAAACTAATGCTCTCATGATTCTGAGTTTCCTCTTGAAAGTTAGTTATTATTTATGCTTGGGCTTTTTTTTTTAGACTTGGACTTTCATTCATTTGGATCAATTAGGGGTTGCAATCAGCTATGATCAGGTGTCCGACACAGGATGGAGCTATCTACCACTCTTCCATCCTATTGTCGCCTGAAACCTGCTTAGCTAGAGTATGAGCCACTCGGTTACAAGATCTACCAGAGTACATCAATTTAAAGGAAACCTGATGATCGGGGCGATTCTCGATCGTTGATTGACCCCTGCCTCCCATAGCTTCACAAACTCTTGGCTGTCAGTTTCCAGGTGTAGGCATTGCACTCCCCTGTCTCTTGCGAAGGCCAGGCCATCTCTCACCGCCAAGGCCTCCATAGTTAACGCATCAAGGCCATGGGTATACCCGTACCACTGCGCTCGCCCTCCACAGAAGGCCCAGCGGAGTTTCGAAGCACAACGCCAATTGCGCCCTTGCCTTGCTCTAGATAGAATTATTTATGCTTGGGCTATGGCAGACACTTAAAACATTTGTGCTGGGCGGCCTGCCCATTTAGTTGCTGGCATGTTGCAGCGTGCATCATCGCGCCAAAAGTCGCCGTTTCGCTGCAGGTTTAGTCAAGCATATTAACTTAACTGATCCGTCCAGAGAGTTTGTTATTTGCCAGGTTCAGTGTATGGGCCTGTTCGCTTGGAGGAATTTGGATAGTTTGGAGGAATGCTGGAGGAATTTATGAGAGAAAAACACTGTTCCGGATGAAAAAAGAAGCGGATCAAGCCGGATTTAACGTAGCAGTGGCGTACTATAGCCAAAATTTGCTGGTATCTCACCAGAGAGCTGGTTATTGTTTAGGTCAAGCATTTCCAGAGTGGCACAGTCGGCGAGGTCTTGGGATGGAGGCGTTCATGTTATTGCTCGAGACGTTGAGATGCCAGAGATTTTTTCCAACGCATAACTCGGGAAGGCACCTACGAGGTTGCAGCTCTCTACGGCAAGGCTGATTAACTGGGTCAAGGTCTTGAATGATGCCGGCAGCTCGCCTGGGTCGAACGGGTTCACCGCCAGCCACAAAGTCTGAAGGCTTGCTAGCTCACCAAGCTCTGCCGGGATAGCTCCCGTGAGGTAGTTGAAACGTAGTGTTAGATGTCCAAGGTTCCTGAGCCTAGACAAAGATGTTAGCATAACACCGACGATGCCGTTGCTATCCAACGCAAGATACCTGAGGTTCTCAAGCCAAGACAAAGACTCAGGGATGGTGCCATTGAAAAAATTGAAGCTGAGGTCCAGCCTGCTCAAGTTTGCCGCAAGGCCGTGGCCGATGTCACGGGGAAGTACTCCTGCAAGGAAGTTCTCGGATAGGTTGAGGTACCGGAGCGATGTGCAGCGGTACAACGCCTTCGGGAACGCGCCGATGATGCTATTGTTGAAGAGGTCGAGGCCTGTGAGGCTGGAGAGACCGCCAATGGCGTCTGGAAGAGGCCCCGTGATGCTGATGCTGGTGAGGGCGAGACTGGTGACGCGGCCAACCGAGTCGCACCGCACGTATGGCCAGCGGCAGTGCGCACCCGTAGCCGATGTCGCGGCGCTCCATGCCGAGAGCACGGGCGGGTCGCCCCACGCGCGCTTCATCTGGAGGAGGAGCTCCGCCTCGCCTACCGGAGGAGGTAGGGAAAGGGGTGGTGCTTTCAGCTGGCTCATTTCCAGGCCATGATATAATAATCCATCTTTCTAACAACCACCGGAGACTCATCAGAGACGACCGGAGTCAGTCGCCGGAGCGGAGACTTGGAGACGACCGGAGTCAGTCGCCGGAACGGAGACTTGGAGACCAATAAGTCGGTCGCCAGGTCACCGGAGACTTGGAGACTGGTAGTCGGTGGTCACCGGAGATTTGCCTTCGCTGCAGTAGATAATAACAGTGACAACTGACAACGACGAAACAGGATTGCAAAGCAACCAAAGAAATAAACACACGAACGAATGACAGGGTGTGAGAGGTGCTACACGCCGACAAAAGATGCTCGGTATGTCCATGATGATAGATTGATTGGTAGAGGTGTGTGTGATCAGAAACTAGATGGTAACACAGACACGAGATAAGATTTATACTGGTTCAGGTCGTCAATGTGACGTAAAACCCTACATCCTCTGCTTTGTTGGTTTGTATTGCTGGAATACGAGATGAGATGTGTAATGGGGATTCCGACTAGGGGATCCCTGCCTGTCCTTATATACTCTGAAGAGGTAGGGTTATAAGGAAAGTTTCCTGGTCGATGATATGGTAAAATTACAATATCTATAGTATCCGATTAAATCTTCTAGATGTCTTGCGGTGTACGCCGAGCAGTGCCATGCGCCGCAAGTCCTAAATCTTGTGGGCTGTACCGTCCTTGACCGTGTAGCCCATGTCCCTTGCCGTGGGTACCTAGGTTATACTCTCCACAGCTAGTTCTCGAGCGCCTTGTATCCTTTGAGCAGCGCCGTCTTGAACAAGTCCGAGCAGTTTGACATGAAGCCGACCAGTTTAACTGTAAGTCGAAGCCGATCAGTTTAACCGGTGACCTGGGCGGTAAAAATCAAACCGACCAGTTTAACTGGTGACCTAGACGGTGAAAGTCGAAGCCGGCTAGCTTGACTTGTGACCTGGGCGGTGAAAGTCGAGGCCGACCAGCTTAACTGGTTAGCAGAGCTCGGACTTAGCTAAGTAAGGCTTGCCAAAATCATATAAGGGGCTTAAGATTAATTATAAAAATTCTTGATCAGTGCAGTGTACACACTTAAGTGTCAATTGTGACAGCGCTGATGATGTGGTCATCAGAGCAGAGCAGAGCAGAGGCATTAAGCGACAAGTTTGACATAGTCAAAACATCATGAATAAGAACTAGTATATGCATCGCAAGGTGCAGTGTACACACTATAGTCTCCGAGCCTGAAATTAGGTGTAGGATACACCTAGTGTCAGGGTCCTGAAGAAAAATAAGCGGTCCCCGACGTAGCCGAGAATGCATCCAGTCCCCAGCATCGCTGAGAATGCATAACAGCACATCCACCGCAAGGTGAAGTGTACACACTTAGTTTCCGAGCCCGTTAGAAAATAAGGAATGAATTTTGTAGCAAGGTTAAAGAAAATAAGTCTGAAAGCTTGCCGACGTCATCTGACATGTTAGTATCAGGACCCCAGTTGTGCTGCCCAAGATCAGCACCCTGATCCGAACAACATGGAGCAACTTGATAGCACACCGATGAGACGTAACAAGATCCGACCACCAAGGGAGTCCCTAGCTTAGCTCGCGACTCTTGCACGAAGAATCCGAGCGCCGAGGTGTCCACAGCTTAGCTAGCGATGCTTGCACGAAGAATCCGAATGCTGAGGAGTCCCCAACTTGGCTGGTGACGCTTGCACGAAGAATCCGAACGTCGAGGAGTCCCTAGCTTAGCTGTCAAGCTCCCAACGTAGCTGACGATGAAGCCCAAGCGACGAGCAGTCCGACCAGCTGTCGGCGAAGAAGCAAGCACCAAGCGGTCCAACCAATTGGTCGGCGGTGAAGTGAACGCGAGTAGAAGTGAGTGCCGAACAGTCCGACCAACTGGTCAGCGATGAAGTCCATGAACCTAGCGGTCCGACCAGTTGATCGGCGGAGAAGTCCAAGTGCCAGGTGATGCGACCACCCGGACGATGATCCTCTTGTCCTTCCCAACTGATCCAGTCCCAGAGCGTAAAAAATAAGCTCAGTGACCGAACCAGGCCCCTGAAAACAAAGATGTAGAATGGGGTACATAATGTACAAATAAAACGTATGAACTCTGGCGATGAAAGCAGCAGAGCAGAGTAGATAAACATTATGTTTGTTTGAAGTATTTATATTTAAAATATGAGTAATTTCCTTCTAGTTGGTTATGTATTGTATCACCAGCCTTGACTAGCCCAAACCCTATAGCGTGGAGTGGCCGGCACCCGTGTACGCGTAAGAGAAAGAGCGTTGCCAAGGAGCCGTTGCTGACTGCCCATAACGCAAAGCGTGGCCCATGCACGTGTAGGAGCGAAGTCGAGGACAGGGCCGTCTCTGGGTGACACAAATAAGAACGTGGCTGGTCGGCGAATTGACGGAGAATATCTTTAAGATATTGCATTATGGAGAACGAGTGGAGCATCTTAAACACGGAGAATAAATGGAGTATCTTAAAGATATTAAACATGGATATTAACTGGAGAAAAAATCAATTGGAGAAAGGCCGTGGAGAAGATTGTATTAAATACAGATATATGAAGGGTACTTAGCTTTAGTCAGATCATCTGGTCGGCAGCGTACGACATTATTTCATGGGCGTCGACAAAAATGCCCGGCCCTCGAGCTTTACGGCCTGTCATCATGGTGGTGGTCGTGGTCGTTATAGCGCCGTTCTTCGCAGCGATTATTCGCTTGGCAGCTCTGGCGGCTCAGGCGGCTCGTTTAGCGGCTCGCTCAGTGGCTCGGGCAGCTTGATGTAGTCAAACGAGTACGTGAAGTTGTAATCGAACGGGCTTAGTGGGAGCCGGACGGAGTCGATCCATGTGAAGAGGCGAAGTCTTTGGGCGTGTCCGACTAGGACATAGTCGGGCTTATGCACCAAGATGAGAACACGAGCGTGGCGAAATTGTTCGTGAGAACATCGAGCGTAGATGCATGTATACATGGAAGTATCTGTGGCTTGCATGATGATCTAGCTTGCTTGTTTGTCGTTGGCTTGCATGTAGATCGGTTCTTTCAATAGATTGCTTGCTTGCGTCATCAAGCATGCATGAAGCTGTAGATGGCATGGCATGTCTCAGACGCAGCCTTCTTGTCATGGTACTGCATGTGCTCGCGCACCATCGCCGTTGCCGGGTCCTCCTCCATATAATCCGGTGTAGCGCTGAGCATGTCGATTGGCGCCGAGTAGCGATCTGTCGATGCGATTGCGGAGGTACTTATGTCATTTGGCGGCGTACTTTCCGCCGAGTTGTTTACCACACGGCACCGAAGAAATTGCCGAGTAGATTGATCTTGATGTTGACTCGGTCGTAGGTGGAGATCTTGAGCACGATCCGGCATGCAAACGTGGTGGAGCTTATGAACGACGTCTCGAGATCGGATCAAGCGGCGAGCTTGCCGTGTTGCTGCACCTCCCCAGCGGCAGCCCGTACTAGTTCAACGCACGGGACCGTCGCCGAGAAGGTGTTGTTGATCTTGAGGTACGTCATCTGGCTTGCCAGAGGATCAGCACGCACACCCCTATCTGACGCGTGAACTGTCGATAAAAGATGCTCAGCAGTGCACCGAGGGGTATGCCCACGATGGTAGATCGATTGGTAGAGGTGCGTGTCATCAGGAACTAGATGGTAACAGAGACACAAGACAAGATTTATATAGGTTCAGGCCGTCAATGTGACGCAAAACTCTACGTCTTGTGCTTTGTTGGTTTGTATTGCTAGAATACGAGATGAGATGTGTGATGGGGATGCCGACTAGGGGACCCCTGCCCCTCGTTATATACTATGGAGGGGTAGAGTTATAAGGAAAGTTTCCTAGTCGATGATATGATAAGATTACAATATCTATAGTATACGATCAGATCTTCTAGATGTCTTGTGGTGTACGCCGAGCATTGCCATACGCCGCAAATCCTGAATCTTGTGGTCTGTACCATCCCTGACCGTGCGGCCCATGTCCCTTGCCGTGGGTACCTGGGGTTATACCCCCCACACTCCAGAAACTCTAGTTTTTGTGGAGCTGCTCCACGGTGGAGTTTATGAAGCAGAGTTTATAGAGCAGTGCCAAACAACACCTAAGGTTCTCTCTCGCTCGCCAGTTTTTAAAAAAACGGATTTTTCCCCATTAGTTATATATACTAGTATAAATGCACGTGCGGCACGCACGTGGCTATAAAAATATTTACTAACCAATTGTTTAAGTTTTAAGGATGTTTTGATAGTTTTCCAGGATTTTTCAATAAAATTGTATCCCAAACTTATCTTATAACAAAAGAAAATATATTTTTGACCATACTACATAGCCAAATAAATGATTTATTAAGTATTCTAGAAATGCATCTAATTCTCTTGTATCACCGTTACAGATCGGTTATTCCACCGGTCATCTTGGTTTCCCATTATATAGTATTTAAGACTGTCTCCAATAACGTTACCCAGACGCAAAATGAGTCCTACACAGTGTTTTGCGTATCAGGAAACGCGGTCCAACGGAGCACGCAAAGAGATGACCCATTTTGCATAGCACCCGAAACGAGAGGCAAATAAGCGTCTTCCAGGGAGAAGACGCAAATCTCTGACGCCCGGTGGATCCCGGCGAGGCGTGGCCGGCTCGGCTCGGTGAGCCCACGGCGGGGAGCCGCCGGCGCTTCCAGACGGGTCCATGGCGGGGCGCGGCCGGCGGGGCAAGGCAGGGAGCGGGGCAAGGCGGCCTGCGCATCCAGGTGGGCCCGCGGCGGGGAGCCGCCGGCGTGGAGAGGAGCGCGGCCGGCGTGACCGCGCCGGGGAGCCATCGACGCTCCGAGCAGGCGGCCGCGCGGCCCAGATCCGGGTGACGCGCTCGCGCTCCATGTTGAGGAGGCTGGGGCGCGCGTAGAGGGAGGAGGATGGGGCGCGACAGCGCCGGCCGGGAGGAGCGGCGCCTCGCCTGGGGGAGAGAAGAAGAGAAGAGAGGGATCGAGCGGAGAGA